GATATTTTGTACCTCCTCACAAAAGTTTCGAGCGTTCTTGAGAAAATATTAGAAGAAAAGACCGGACATGAAAGATAGAAGTCTATCAAATTAGCCAAAGACAACTGCCTATAAAATGAAAAACTAAGAGTTTCTTGGACGAGAAACCCTTCGTTATATGCTTTCACGATAGGCAAGTCATCTTTGGCTCACTAAACAAACTTTCATATCTTCATGTTCGATCTATCTTCCTTCTTCAATTCACAATTCTGAGCATCGGGACTCCACGGGCTTTTATATACAAATTTCAACCAAATGGAATATGAAAAGTAATTGGAATATATTCTCTTAAGTTACTTTATAAGTTGACTAAAATGATATACAAATTCCGTTAAAGTCAACTATTAATCTGGCTTTTGAAATGAAACACAAATTATAACTTAATCGTTAATGATATAATATTAATATTAAATTAAGTAGAGTTAATTGCTCTATCGTTTCTCATTGACTTAAAAGAATGTATTGATTGGAACTGACTCGAACGTGTCAAGATAAATCTCGATCAAAATTAGTTCAAAAATAGATAAATTGAAACCGCATTTAAACCCATCTAGAAGCGAATAGAATTATGGAGGGTTACTTTACCCATGCCATCATGCAGCTTTTAGAATATAGGTAAATTCCTTCATGGCTTCCCATCCCATTTGCTTTGCTTTTTATAGCTATCAAACTCATTAGTATCAAATGCATCATTTTTTTTTAAGGGGTCTAAACTCACTGTTAATATATATTGTCCGCTTTAATTCGTTACGTATCGTCTGTCAGTTTCACGATTTTAAAACGCGTCTACTAGAGAGAGGTTTCCACACTCTTATAACAAATGTTTCGTTTTTCTCTCTATCTAATGTAGAATCTCACATTTTTAGAGAGAAAGATCGAATCTCGTTCAATAGTCAAAGATGACTTCCTTGTAAATTATTTCTTAATAAATTTGAGTTCGCCTTTAAAATTTGAGCATGCATCATGAAGATAAGAGTGTTGTTTGGTAGATAAAAATGACTTACCTACTATTTCGATGAGCAAAAGATAACGTTTTATAATTTAAAATTTATGAGCTTCATATTAACGAGACAGTGAGTTGACTAATCTAATTAGCTCTTTTTATTCATTTGCACATATTCTTTCCCGTCTATACTATGCGTTCTCGAGTGGTATTATTACAAAAATTAGAAATTTATGGTAATCATAACCATGTCGTCTAATAGGACAATTTTTTTTTTTTCTGTCGTTTCATATTTTTCACTTTTAAATGTTGGATATTCCGTAACCATTTTTTTTAATCTTAATGTAATATTTTAATCCAGAAGATGCAATAATATTTATTTATAGTACTAGTTTCATCGGGTTAAATTTTTTTAACTCATGCCTTAAGTCGGCATGTAACCCTTTTTTATTGGATTAAATTCTTTCGACTGATATCTCAACTAGAACAGATGCAATTTGAAGAAGATGATAAAATAGAAAGACGAAGATCCTCTTCCATAGCCTATCAAAGTTGGTTTAGGTTACATTTAAGTTCTTCTATTTTTCGAAGTCATGAGCAAAATAATTAGAAAAAATGAGATGCCACTGTCCATTGGTCTGATGATTCATGATAGCTCAACAAATCGCAAGACTATTGTGCTGGTGACGCATCATTCAAATTTCTGTCTTATCAACTTTTGATGGAGAATTAGAGTTCGATTTCAGAGAGAGAGAGAGCCTAAGGAATGACTACCACATCCAAGGAAGGCAGTAGGTGTGCAAATTATCCAGTCCTTACGTAAATTTTTTTGACTCATCACGTAAAACCCAATACCAGTATTGAAATGACGAATATCTTGTACGTCAAAGTCAAATTATTTTAAAGAGAAGATCTAGCATGAAAGAAAAGAACTTGTAAGTTAGCCTCAATGACCTGCCAGCATTGGAAACTAGGGTTGATCAAAGCAACCGAGAAAGTTTCATACGAGCTATTGCAGGCAAGTCATTTTTGGCTATCATACAACGCTCTTATCTTCTCATACTATACCGCTCTTTCACTTCACTTCTTCCTTGTTTGCAATCTTCGATATTTTGAACCTCCTCATAAAAGTTTCGAGCGTTCTTGAGAAAATATTAGAAGAAAAGACCAAACATGAAAGATAAAAGTCTATCAAATTAGCCAAAGACAACTGCCTATAAAATGTATAACTAAGAGTTTCTTGGACGAGAAACCCTTCGTTATATGCTTTCACGATAGGCAAGTCATCTTTGACTCACTAAACAAACTTTCACATCTTCATGTTCGATCTATCTTCCTTCTTCAATTCACAATTTTGAGCACCGGGACTCCACCGGCTTTTATATACAAATTTCAACCAAATGGGATAGGAAAAGTAATTGGAATATATTCTCCAAAACTTGCTTCATAAGTTGACTAAAATTATATACGAATTTACTTTTTATTTCTTTGATTAGAGTCGAAGTAAACTAGGACGTTTATGTATAACAAGTGCACGTTTATGTTAAGAAGAGTAAACCATTTTGAATTGTGTCTTAGTTTTTTCGATACCCTATCACTTCTCGTTGACTTAAAAGAATAAAATTGAGTGAAGTTGACTAAACGTATAAGCCCACATCGTTATTCCTTATAAGAATGAATGGATTAAAGTCAACTCTAACCTTTCATAATATGTAAGGAGTTGACTTACAAGAATAATTGGATTGAAACTTACAAGTTGCGAAGCGATGCCATCATGCAACTTTGAAGAATATAGGTAAATTCCTTTTATGACTTCCCATCCCATTTGCCTTGCTGCTTTTTGTAGCTATAAATATGGAGACTATCAAACTCATTATTGTCGAGAAATGGTGAAGAAGAGAGATGCATTGTGAAGGTAAGAGTGTTGTTTGATAGCCAAAAATGACTTGCCTGTTGTCGTGATGAATAAAAGATCACGTTTTGAAATTTAGAACTTATGAGCTTCGTATTAATCAGGCAGTGTTTTTGGCTAATCTGACAAACTCTTCTTGTTCATGTTGCACGTATTCTCTTTGGATAACTTTAGGTTGACTAGGGGAGTTTAAGGAAGCTAAACCCAAAAATCGTTTGCTCTGTTCTACAGAGAAATGAAATCCGCAACCTGAAGTTTATTCTTATGGTCGAGTTGGGAAAAAGGGTAGGTTGTTGCTATTCTTCTTTGAAATTGTGGGCTATTCTAGCATGCCGATAACATGTTTGAGAAAATGCTCGAGAGATCTCTAGTAAAGTTCTACTCTTGCTTGGTTGCCACCCGACTCGAGGAAGCGATGAGCTTCGATTTTGCAACGATACAGAATCTCTTGCTGAAATTTGGTCACGAAACTGGGACAACAAGCTGACAATGAATCGTGCTACTCAGTCCTGTGTAGTCCATAAAAAATGGCGATATATGTGTGGTAGGTAGGTGCTTGCTGTTATCAATTTGTTACTATGATCTCTGGTTGCTTATATGTTTTTAGATTTAGAAGATTGTCATTTCAGATTGGAGCTGACTTAAGCATGGATTTGCAATGACATGAGAAATTTGAACATTTTATGTCTCAAGCACAGCGGGTCGTTTCAAGCTTATACATGTTTCAATCGTTTCAAGCTTCTATGATATGGATCCAAATTCTTGGTGGTCAACTTTACGATGGGTCGTATGGTTGACACAACCAGCTAGCTAGTAACTTTGATTTGTACATACTTTTTGCAAAGTTAACTTAGTTAATAGATGTCGTCCTCAATCAATCCTGTTTTTAGATCACACAAGAGGAGTAAGATTCTGTTGATCAAATATCTCAAGTCAAGAATAGTTGTTTGAGAATTATTTCACAAGCAAAATTGAGTTTGAATAATTCTACATGCAATCTAAACTATATCGCAAGTATAAATGCTCCTTGTAAATAAATCTTAAAATATTTTAAAAAAACACCATAACTCTAAGTTTGTAACGGCCAAAGTCCACTTGCTAATAAATATTGTCTTCTTCGGGCTTCCCCTCAAAGCTTTAAAATGCTAGAAAAATGTTTCCACAATCTTATAAAGGGTATTTCGTTCTTTTCTCCAACAAAGGTGGGATATCACAAAATTATCCACCCAAAATTTATAAAAATAAAATAGCATGAATATAAATATCTTTTTGACAATTTTAATAACACTTTCTTCACATCTTCATTGAAGTATATTATTGGTTGATGTCTTGGTCCAACTTTGCTCAATTTGTAGTAAGCTCTTATGTAATTACAACTTTTATGGTAAATGCGAATGACCTAACATTTCCTACCAACAAGATAAAAATGAGAAATCTTTTTTCTTCTTTGATTGAACGTCTTTGATTTAGAACTCAGTTTTAAATTCTATATATGCAAGTTCAACATCAATATGATTGTTGATGACTCAGACATTTTCATTATATCATAGAAAAAATGACTTTGAAATAGAACTAAAATTTCACTCTTTTCTTGAAATGATGGTTTATTTGTTAATTTGAACTAAAATATCCACTAATGTGACACCTAAAAATTATGAGCAGATCAACGTTTTAACTCATAATATAATATGCAATGAGTAATCATTTTTTTGAATATGAGAATAAGAGAAGATCTAGAATGATAGAGAAGAAGAGTTTGTCGAGAACAAGAGAAGATCTAGAATGAGAGAAAAGAGTTTGTCAGTTTAGCCAAAATAACTGCCTGCTCGGTACATAAATCAAATCCGAACTTAAAAACGCCATAATTTGGAAGAGCAGGCAAGTCATTTTTGGCTATCAAACAACACTCTTCATGTCATACTAAATCTCTCTTCCTTGATGCAACTTGGCACACCACATCAATGATCAAACCACTCATTCCAAACTTTAAAAGGGATTTTTAAGAAAGAATGTAAGAAGATAAGCCAAAGATGAGTCCCAGCAAACAAGAACTCAACCCAACCCTCCTCCATGTCTGGCTTTTCTTCTTCATTTGAACCCAAATAGTTGCAGAAACTAAGAGAGTTTGATATCTATTTATAGCTGTTTGCATGGTTTGAAAGAATATATTCACTCTTATGAGTTGCATGGGTTGACTAAATCAGCTAGCTAGCTAGAACTTTGGTCCGTATAATTCTTTTTTCTAAAGTCAACTCTACGTTGACAAATGTCCACTTCAATCAGCCCCATTACCACTAACACATATTCTGTCAGCTACAATCACTTGTACATTCCAATTGCTAATTGATTAACATTTTAAAACTAATTATTAACCAACATTGAAATGATTCCAACTATTTTGGAGAAAAGAAAACTTAGTAGTAGATAAGGCATGGAGTTTCAATTACCTGAAATTTCTTGGAGCCTTTGGCAATCCACCAAGTAAGCGAATCCATAAGCCAAATTCTTCAACGTTGCCTCGTGTAGCTCTAAGTCCACCGTCGCCGTCGCGTCGGTGGAGAAGAACACTCTGTACCCTCTCAGGAACGCCTCACGCGCCGTCGTCTCACAGCAGATGTTCGTCATAACCCCTGTTACAATCACCTCTTCCACGCCCTTCTCTTTTAGGCAGTCTTCTAGTCGCGTGTTCCTGAACGCGCTGTAGGTGTTCTTCCGAATGACCTCGTCCGTAGCCTGCCGGTCGAGATTAGGGATGAGGTCGGCGGCAGGGGTGCCGTCGAGGATGATATCGCCGTCCCACCACTCGCTAAGGATGGGGTTGTCGGAAGCAGAGGCGTGAGCGTGGCGGGTAAAGATGACGGGGATGGAGGCGGCGCGACAGAGACGGATGGTGGTGAGGAGATTGGAGAAGATGGGTTTGGCCATGGCGGAGAAGTAGTTCTGCATGTCGATCACTAAGAGTGCGGCGATTTTTGGATTTGGGAGTCGGTGGCGGATCTCGTATTTCTTGTATGATGGACAGATTCCGCCGCCTGCAGTGGCGGCTTCGGCGGCCCTTGATTTGGGGTTATCCATCGTCGGTTGTGGCGATATAATGCGATTTCGTCGGAATCGGAGCTCTGAGTTTGGGATCTGAGATTGAAGAAGACGAGGAAACCTAAATAGACTGAATTTTTTATTTTTTATTTCTTATTATAGATTTTCTTCTCCCTCTAAATTAAAAAATAATTAACTAATTTAATTTAATTGATTTTGGAAGGGTGAAAAGGAGGTAAACACGTGGAGCGACTGGATTGGGCGTATAGAAGCCAGGCAGTTTCGACGTCGTTCTAGAGGCTTCGGTTGTGGGAGTGCGTCGCAGAGAAGCTCTCCGTTAAAAATTGGGAGCGAAAATTTGGTGATTCTGAGAGAAAGAAAAGGAGAGAGGAACAGAGAGAGAATTTAGGGTGTGGAGATGTCGTACCTGTTGCCGCATCTGCACTCAGGATGGGCGGTGGATCAAGCAATCCTCGCTGAAGAAGAACGCGTCGTCATCATCCGCTTCGGCCATGATTGGGACGACACCTGTATGCAGGTAACCTCATTTCCAATCCTTAACTCTTCTTCTCCTCGCTTTCATCGCTTTTCACGGCGTCGAGGTTTTATGCATTTTCTTGCCGATTCCGATTCTCTTCGGAGATCAATATACAGAGGACGACGATTTTCTTGTTCGAAAATTTTCCCTATTTTTTTGCAGAGATCAAAAGAAAGACGAAGCTATATATATAATTTTTTGACCGAGTTATTTAATTGAATTTGACACTTAATTTTAGCAAGGAACTTTGTATTGAAAATAAAAGGACTAATTTGAAAGTTATTAAATTTTTTAACATTTATTGATTTTTCGAGTTAAATTAAAAGTATAGTCTTTAAATTTCAAGATTCAATTTGATCCATTTAGTGGTAAAAAGGTATATAATTAATTTATGAAGTTTTAAATTTGAGATAAAATTTGTTTAATAATTCTTCATACTCTATACAAAATTTCAAATTATAGATAAATTATTTTTTAAAAAATAAATTAAGTTAAAAATTGTATAATAGTTTTTCTCATGTAACTCTTTTTCCTGTTAATTCAAACACACACGGTAAACTTGGTCTCACAGCTTTGCTCTCTTAGCCGTCACTCTATAATTTGTGGTCGAGTGTCTACAAGTTTCTAAAGAGATTCCGGCTTTCTTATATCAACAGTCTGGTTTTTACTATTTATGACTTAAACACATCTAATTCAATTGCAGAAATTATTTACAGAAATTCAAAATATTTATATAATTAATCTAACATTCTTATGATAATTGTTTAGTCATCTTTTATAGTTTGATATGTTTTTGATGTAGATGGATGAAGTGTTGGCCTCAGTTGCAGAGACGATTAAGAACTTTGCAGTAATATACCTTGTGGATATCACAGAGGTTCCTGATTTCAACACAATGTACGAGCTCTATGATCCTTCTACTGTCATGTTCTTCTTTAGGAACAAACACATAATGATTGATCTTGGTACTGGTAACAACAATAAGATAAACTGGGCACTCAAGGATAAGCAAGAGTTCATTGATATTATTGAAACTGTCTATCGTGGAGCAAGGAAAGGTCGTGGTTTGGTCATTGCACCTAAGGACTATTCAACCAAATATCGCTACTAAATCTCTGTTTGGATTGATCTTCAATCAATCCATATGGTCCATCATCATAAATTTAAGACCTCGCATCTTCGAAAATCTGTACATTCACTCAAAAAATGGATATGGTATATTTGGATGTTATTACGTGTCTCAAAACATTTGGCTCATTGATCGTAACGGCCCAAACCCACTACTAGCAAATATTGTCCTCTTTGGACTTTTTCTTTCAAGCTTCCCCTCCGCTAGGGAGATGTTTCCATACCCTTATAAAAGATGTTTCGTTCTTTTTCCCAATCGATGTGGGATCTCACAATAAGGGATGGATTGGGAGAGCTTTACATCGATTAGAGAAGGGAACAAGTGTCAGCAAGGATGATAGGCTCCAAAGGAAGTGGATTGTGAGATCCCACGTCTTCTTTATAAGAGTGTGGAAACTTCTCCCTAGTAGACATGGTTTAAAAACTTTGAAGGGAAATCCAAAAGGGAAAGCCTAAAAAGGACAATATTCTTTATAAGAGTGTGGAAACTTCTCCCTAGTAAACATGGTTTAAAAACTTTGAAGGGAAATTCAAAAGGGAAAGCCTAAAAAGGACAATATCTGCTAGCATCGATGATGTATTGGACGAGCCGCCTAGTTTGTGAGCAAATGGGTATGATACACAAAAATAAAGTTTGTTTACCATGTCTAATACACTCTGCTTCTTAATTCTGTCATGTCTTTTTCCATTTTTATTACTGTACAGCTATAGCTATGTATGCAACTTCTATCATCTGGATAGCCTTGCTACATGTGTATTTCTCAATGCCTAATCTTTCTTCCAATCATTTCTACCATTCCCATTACAACCATCCCAATGATATACCAAGTGACGCCTGTTAGCATAACCTGCATCCAGTGACTGTTAACTAACTCTAGAGCCATAGAACCGCCAACGTGTTCCTTTAAGCTGCTGGCACCATCATTTCTCATCATTTGCTGAATCGCAGCAGTTGCGATTATCGATATCGAAACTGGTAATGCCAACCTCATGGGGCTAACATGACCACCATCACCAAGGCCTCTTGGTTCTTTGGTGGGTTTGGTCTCCACTCTTGACTTTGAGATTGTGCTGTTTGGAGTTTGAGTTGAGGTTGGAAGTGCAAGAGTGGTCGGAACCCAGTAATCATCCTTGTATATATGTTTTTCTGTAGCTCTATTTCTGTCTTCAGCTTTTGCCCTGATTTGTTTCCTTGCAGTAACAGCAGCCTGAAGCCTGTTGATTTCTGGTGTGCATTTGGTGGCGATGTGCGTCAGGTTTTGGCCCTGTTTTGATCCAGGTCCAGCCGGCGTGGCTGTCTGCCAAAATAGCCAATTTGAGATTGATCTGATGGTCTGAATTGCAGCCAACTGGGCTTCATTCTCAAAGGTTGCCCCCTGTAAAACACCATTGTAGAATAAAGGGTATCATTAATTTTAAGCCATTTTGAGTTGGAGATATTGAACTTATTGTGATTAATATCTATTTGGATCTAACCTTGGAATGCTCTTTTGAAGCTTTCTCCATAGCCTCCTTGAATCTGGCTTGGAATTTCTTCACGTCTGTGAAGATATTCGACACTCGTTCACCAGCTGCGTTGCTCATTCCAACTCTTACATTTCCACGCGGTTGCTTTGACATTAAGAACTCCAAGGCTGCTAAATCTGACCTTTCCACTATCCTGTATTGGAAAAAGAAGACACTTATGTTGAGGATTGTCGGGAGGGAGTTCCGAATGATCATGAGTTTATAAATAAGGAATACATCTCCATTGGTACGAGGCCTTTTGGGGAAGCCCAAAGCAAAGCCTGAGAGCTTATGCTCAAAGTGAACAATATTATACCATTGTGGAGATCCGTGATTCTTAACCACTTATAAAGTCAATCAGCCCGTTAACGTTTACTCACGAAATGCAGTCGACTGGGCAAGTTTGAATAGCTTCCATCACTTTATATTCAGGATCAGCCCACTGTGCCACAACTCTAGCTCTCCCATACACAGATTCGACAGCAAAGGTTTTCCCGGCAAATAAAGCACATTTCAAGCAGCCAATACATTTCACTTCATCTACAAAAACCGCCCGTTGTTCGTTTTGCGACCCGAGCCACACTGAATAAACTGGATTCCCTGTGTAACCTCGAAGTTCTGCCACTTTCGCTTGCTCCTGTGGACATGTCAAAAACCATGGTTTCTGAATCGAATTGTACAAAGTAGATTAGTGTATTTGAGTTCTGACCTTATCATAAGCCAGCCTAGAACTAGGATCCGACAGAAGTGAATATGCTTCATTGAGAATGATACTCATGTCATGGCCAGCAGGTCCGGCGATGTCGGGGTGGCACTGCTTTTGGAGGGCGCGGTAGGCTGCCTTGATCCGTGATGAATCGGAGGAGCTGTCGATGCCCAAAAGATCATATAGATCGAAGTCTCTAATTGAAGAAGCTGCCCTGCATGACAAAGTGTTGCCATAAAGCTTTCTGGAAGTTGAGTTGTATGATGCTAACTTTGTTCGAGTTGGATACTGTCTTGCGGTTGCAGCCGCAGTGTGTGTGTACAGAGGAAGCCATGAGGTACTCATCTTCCAAGCTTTCAAGAAGGATAAGAGAGGAGGAGTTGTTAGATGATGCTTGTGAGATGGCTTTAGAAAAGTGGTAGGAAGATATTTTATGACAAAATAAGAGGAGGTGAGATATTTTGATGCCATCCTATGAGACTACAACTCCTTGTGGAGACCACCCGTTTGCTATCTCGTATAACAATGGCGTGTTTGGAATGACTTTTAAAAATTTAAGATCTAACTAGGTGTAAGATTCAACTCTCGATTGAAAAGAAAGCGTTGAGTTGGAAAAAAATGAAGAAACAGAGAAACTGAATTGAATTGACACGTTCTCGATATCTTTGAGCTCCTTCAAGAACCTTAATATTATTTGAGTTTGTTTCTTAACATTGAAGTATCTTTTAAATTGCAACGGTAACAACCTAAACTCATTGTTGACAAATATTGTCCGTTTTAATCTGTTACATATCATCATCAGTCTCACGGGAGAGGTCCACTACTAGCAGATATTATCTGTTTTAATGCATTACATATTGCTATCAACGTCATAGGAGAGGTTTTCACACTCTTCTAAGAAGTGCAAGAGAGATTTTCACAAGCTTATAAGAAGTGTTTCGTTCAACTCTCTAACTGATGTGGGATCTCACGATCCACTCTTTAGGGGTCCAACGTCCTTACTGGCAATGTATCAACGTTGTCAGTCTCACAGTTTTAAACATGTCTACTAGAGAGAGGTTTCCACACCCTCACAAATAGTGTTTCGTTCCACTTTCCAACCGATGTGAGATTTTACAATAACATTATACAATATAACCTCACAAATCAAACGGGAAAGTTTTAAATATACAGAATACTTTAAAATTAAGAAATCTAGAGCGAATTAAAATTTTAATACCATAATTGAAGTCGGTTTAGAAGTGGTACACTAGTTCAAATAAGTCTGCAAGTAGAAAGTTTTGACATGAAAGTTTGGACACGAACCAATGCACTTTTTGGACATTTCACTTCATTACAAAGCACTTTCTCCAACACACACAACAATACTCCATATTGCCGCCTTTAACCCTATCCCAAACACATGCCTTTCCTCTTCCTTTAAGTCTTCGTTTAGTTAACTATTAATGTTAATTAACATCTTAATTTACTAGTTAACTATTTCTTAAGATTGTGTTTAATACGCTGGTAACACATTTTTTAAAAGGGTCTGCTCCATCTATATACTTTTTAATGTTATTTTATAAGTCTCTAAACTATTTTAAATTTGTTTAATGGGTCTCTTTTTTTTGTAAATATTGATCTTATTAAAAATATAAATAAATTTATAATTTAATATTAATTATGAGAAAATAAGGACAAATAAGTTCCGACATATATTTTAGCTAATTATTATATTAATTTATTTAATTAAACACCCCACTCCTCCTTTATTTCTATATATATCTTATAATTCCTCTGTTTACGATTACTTTGAAGCTCTTATTTCCAGCTTTTATCGGCACCACCGGAGAAGCTGAAATTCCGTCCGGCCGTCTCTGTTTATTTCTCAAACCTCTTATCTCTTAATGGCGGCGAATGGATTGGATTTAGCTTACGCCTACAGAAGAAAACCCTTTTCTTCTTCATCATCTCTCCTGAACTCATTTTTCATGTCCACAGTCAATATCGCCGCTAATTCTCTCGTCTCCGTCGCCTCAAATGCCAAAAACGAACTTTCCGGCAGGAAATGGCGCCCCGCCGACCACTTCCGCTTCATGCTCATGCTCACCTCTTGGTTTACGGTTTGGGTTTTGAGAATTGTCATAGATTGGTTCCCTATTGCTCTCGCCCCTTCTTGCCGCCTGCTAACTCGTATCTGCGGCGGCGGTGGGTCTGGGAGTTCGCCGCCTCTGCTGTTGCCGCCGCCGTCTTCCGACCCCTCGTCGGCGTTGGTTCCTTCGCCACTGGCTTCGCTTTCCAAATTGGATTTGATTCCTTTTGAAACTGTTGACTTCGGTGGTTCCTCAGTTAAGCCTCTTACCCGAGCTCTCTCTCAAGTAAGCCTTTTTTTTTTTTTTTTTTTTTGATGACTTAATTAATTTTCGAATTTTTTAATACAAAAATTAAAAATTTAATATGAAATTAATTATTGCCAATAAATTTCAAAATCAATATTATTGTAATTGAAAATTTTATTTTGTTTAAGTTAATGTAGAAAATTAATTAATTTACTTTTGAACACCTGAAAGATTAATAAAAGCTTTAAAATATTTTCAATTTAGTAAATTTATTTTGTAATATATATTTATTAAGCTTTGAGATTATAAATAATAGTTTAGATTGGTTGATTATAGAAAATTCCAAAAAAGCTTAAATATAGAATAATATTTTTCAAATGGTAGGAAAATTTTAATTTAATTAGGGATTGAAATTGACCAATTATTAATTATTAAACAAAAATTAACCAAAAATAATGACGAGGTTTTCTTGGCCTCGAATCCGTGCTATGGTCTTGACTGAAGTCGGGGCGATGCGGCGGCATGAATGGTTCAAGTTAGGCCACGTGTCATGTTCATGGCTACGATGAAATGACGTGTCAGTTTCTAATTCTTCGTTGTTTGCGGTTCTCGCCACGTGGATCCATTTTCGAGAAGTTCGGTCCACATCGTTTGGGAATGTTTTTTGTGGTAAATTATAAGAAGTGGATAATATAATTACTTAAATTATAAATTATATTTACACCAATTTAAACTTTATTTTAATTGGCTATATATTTTTTAATATAATATTTATTATAAGGGTTTAGGATACAAATGATTTTCCACTAATTTTTATTAGTCGAGGCTTAATTGGATGTTAATCCGAACCATAATTTAATTAAAATTTGAAATGAATGGCGCAGATCTTAGCGATCCTGAGCGAGATGCCGGCAAGTTGCCGGAAGTACCAATTTACGATGGCAATGGCAGAGAAGATGATGGACGAAAACGCCAAAGGCGGCCAGTTCGAGCTCCTGCAGGTGAACCGTTCTGCCCTCTCCGCCGCCATCGCCCGAACCTCCTCGCTCCTATACGACTCACTCAAGCGGACCCGAGATTTCGAAGAACGAACCAGAGCCGGCTCATGGCCGTCGCGGATCATCGCCGCCCTCCCATTCGGAGCCTACGTCACTCCGTACCTTAAATTTGTGGATCTTGCCGTGAGTGCCGTCCGGACCATCGTCCCCAAGGAGGAGCCATTGAACGCTAGGAGATCGGAGACGGGAATCATGGAGGGGGAATTCGGCAGCGAGGTGGTAGCGGAGAAGCTCGGTCATGAGTTAATTTGGATGGCGAACAAGCTACGGGAGTACGGTGCGGTGGATGAGGCTATATTACAGTGGAGCTTCGCCGGCTGCCTGGCCTCTGTTTCCGTCTGCTGTAATCCGAGAATCCAGTGGTGCTTCGTCAAGATCTCAGCGACTCTGTTCCTGGAGCTGGCGGGCAAAGAAATGGAGGAGATGATAACATCGGAGGTAAAATTCCGAATGCTATCGCTATGGCTGCCATTGCTGTGCTACGCCCGAAACGGATTAACCTTTCCAGCGCTGATGAGGTACGAGAAGGACGAAACCGAAAGAGCCCTGAATCAGATCATCGGAACCTTGCCGCCGATGGAACAGGAACTCATCTTAACCAATTGGCTCCAAGATTACGCGATCTCCGCCTCCGAATGGCCCAATCTTCAGCCGTCTTACGATCGCTGGTGCAATTCGACTCGACAACTCACCGGCTGATCGGTGGATCTGAAAAGATCTATGGAAGAATTAGTTTTACTTTTTTACAAATGGTTTGAAATTTACTTGATTTTGTGAAATATTTATTTGTATTGAATAAATAGTTAGGGTTCAGATTATTTATATTTAAATATTTTTTTAATGTTTAAATATAAATAATTTTCAAATTAAAAGGGGGTTACTTATATTTTTTGTTATTTAAATTTAAATTAAATAATTAAAAATAAATAAATTGGGTAGTTTTTTTTTTTCAACGACTACTTGATTTTTTCAATATATATTTAATTTGTATTGACTAAGTTTATATGTAAATTATATATTTTTTTTAATATCACTTATCTAAGATAAAACATTGTTTATTCTAATAATTCTAGTTTTGTTGCTAATGTTATCAATGAAAGGTGTTCAAATTGGGAGTGCAATGTGTTTGAAAACTCGGGATCGTAAATGGATTCAAGTCATTGCCAAACTCAGTCATACAAGTTCTTGTAATTTTGAGCGGGTTCTTGCTATGTAGACCATAACGTGCAGTATAGGGATCATGGTCCTGGTGTATATTATCGTGCACACAGGTAAAAGAACGGTTGGAATAAATATTTTTTTAATGTTTAAATATAAAGAATTTTGTCATTAATGAGTTTACAAAATTGATAAGAATTAATATATATATAGTTTAAGCTAATTTTGGTTAAATTTGGCAAGTTCTAATAATTGTTATTTGAAGTTAATTACATAAAAAAAAAGGTTGTCAAATTCTGGGGGTAATTTTCTTCATATATTTATATTAAAGGGAAAAGGAAAATTGGGTGCGAAGACAAATATAATCTTCGTCGTGTTCGGAGATTCTTCCCTTAAAGAAATTTCTCTGAAATCCTCGATCCTCCAACTCTCGATTCCCCTAATTCCCTAATTCATCTTCTTTTTTCTTGCTTTCATCCAATTTTCAAATCCAAATCTCCCATTTCTCTCAATCTCCTTTTATGGAGAACGAAACCACCACTAACGCCACCAAACTTGGCTCCGATGGAGTCAAGCCAACCCCGACCACCACTACCACCGCCTCTTCCGACCATGAACAAAACCCCACTTCCAATCCATCGCCACCCTCTGTTGCAGACCCCCAGAATGACCCTACTGGATCCGACTCCACCTCCCTTCAAACCCCTTCTCGCCACTCCTCCAGAACTCCCTTCACTAATCTCACCCAGGTCGATGCTGACCTTGCCCTCGCTCGTACCCTTCAAGAACAGGTCCTCTCTCCCTCCTTCTCTCTCTCGATGTCACTGTTTATAATCTCTTCTTGTTCTCTTCAATTTCCGCTTTATTTTTTATTTTTATTTTTTTCGTATTGTTCTGTGTTCAATTCGGTCTGTTGTCGGCTGCTTTTAGAGCTTTTTGATGGAAATCTCATCTTGATTTTGTTCCCGTGCGGGTTTTTAAGAATTTTGATTGGGTGATGGACTTGATGTTCTCCTATGTGGCTTTCTCCGTATCAAATTACTATCACGAGAGTCTGTTTGTTGTTTAGGTTCTGGATTTAATTTCAACCTATTGATTATCTGATTGTGTTTTATTGTCCTTGATTGCCGTGATTTCTAGCATCGACTTCATTTGACTTTATTAATTTTCTGCTGGCTTGCTAGGGAAGTTGTTCACAAGAAAAACATCAATTGTATTATGAGCATGCTTTTGTTTCTTTTCCTTTATCTATCGATATTGTTTGATTATTTGTCTTGTTAATTATGAGCAAATGCTTGTCAGTTAGTGCAAAGTGTTTGAATCCTGATTTGGTTCTGATGATCTTCATGCTTACAGAGGGAAGAGGATATATAAAATGCATGATTGATTGACTTATTACTATATTGTTGTTCAGTTGAAAGTTTGTTTTTAAATCTTGAGTTTGTCTTATCATGTTTTTAGCAATTAAAAGAGTTATGGACTGGGAGAATTTGCATAGACTATGTCCGCATCTTATTTGCACAGGATGGTTGTCTTTATTTTGGTTGTAGCAGCCTCTATATTTTGCAAGAAAAAAGGTTTTTAGTGATATTTTGAATTGACAATGGCTAATTATGAGCAGGAAAGAGCATACCTGATGCTCAGAATGACGAGTGAGGGGAGTGATTTTGGAAGCTGGGAAGCTGGAAGTTATGTATTAGACGATGAGGATGGTTTTGGTGATCCCCATGACCATACAGAATCTGATGGGGATGATGACGAGTTTGATGGAACAGATGTCAATGATGATGATGATGTGTTTGATGTGCATGCTCATGAAGATGGAGAAGATAACAATCCCAACTTTGAACTTGATCCAGGTAATTTTTCAAGCGACGAGGCTTATGCTAGAGCCTTACAAGATGCTGAAGATAGAGAAATGGCTGCCAGATTGTTGGCCCTTGCAGGATTACAAGATCGTGAGTATACTTGCCATCTGGCTCCCTTTGTAATGGATACTTATGTATAGGTCTCTTAATCTTGTAAGACTAAAATATCTTGTTTTATCTTGTTGTAGAGGATGCAGATGACACGGATGATCAAGGTGAAAACTCCCAGGTATTTCCTTTAATTTTCCACTTCAATTCTGTTGCACTCAATTTTTTTTTATTAACACTTTGTACATTTAAATTCACTTAGAACTACTGAGACAGACAACGTTGATCCTGAAAATCCTCACCGTATGGAATTCATGCGGAATAAGGGAAATCTTATGTGGAAATCCTTGTTACTGTTAAGTAGCTAGATGCGGACCTGGAATTGACGCAGAATGAGGGAAGTCTTATGTGGAAAACATTGTTTTAACTTTCCCCTCTTTGGTAGCTCGGAAGCCACAACTTATAAATTCACTTGTTGATCTAAAGAGACTTGCGGTTAAAACTTATCTGTTCCCTTATCTTTATAGTTAGTTTTGTTTGCTTGGTTCCTTTTGTTGGCCTCTCCTGTTTAATGGTTCCTTGTATACCTTCATTTTCCACAATGAAAACTGGTCTCCATCTTTTCTTTCCTTTTTTTCTCTTTTACTTCCCTCTGTCTAAACCCTCAAGTGCTTGATTGTAGGAAAAGAAGTTCCATCCATCATTCATTCTACCTTAGGCCATAAGATCCTGACTGCCTTACTCACAGGCTCTAGTATGATTCAAAGCCATCATGGCCTTTTTCGGGGGGAGAATTTGGTTTTGGATGAATAAAAGAATTTTCAAAATTTGTTCTCGTTTTGATGCTTTTTGGGATCTTGTCAGATATATATACTTCTTAATTTTTTGTGGTGTTCTTTGTCCAACCTTTTTCTTTGATCTGTGCAACTTAGGATTTTTTTTTGTAGCTCCCATATTTTCGTGAAGAATTTCTTACTCTTTTTCTGCTCCTTATCTTTTGACTAATGTCACTTCTCTTTTCCTAAAAAACAAAAACTGTCCTGTGTGTTTATGTTAACTACAATTACTCCTTCGAAAAGCATCCTTGTGTCTCCATGCTTCTTAGGCTCATTTTTTCCACCCAAAATCCTCCTTCCAAGATGATGTATTTCTATATTGTTAGTATTCTCTCAATATTAACTAGAGCTTCAAAAGTTAAGAGGTATTCGTTGACATGATGTTAGGAAGAGATTGAGTGAGGAGATGTGTGAGGAAGCTAGATTTAGCAATGTCTCCTTGAGGGCATTGGTCAATAGACATTTTTATCATTATAGTCTTGGTTTGATTTTGTTGGATTGGAGTCCATATTTATAGTTAGTTTTTGGGCTCCCTCTCGATATCTTGTTTTTTGGCAGGCTATTTTCTGTATAACTTTATATTTCTTTCATTTTTCTTAATGAAAGCTCGAGTTGAGGTCTACACTATGGTCTATCCAGCATGGGAAGTTGTAAACAGCTTGAAAATGAATATTCTCGTGGATGAGGCAGATGAAAGTTTCGTTGGTATTAGCATTGTTCTTATCTTTCTGTAAGGTTTGGAATACTTTTATGAAGTTACCTTTGAAAATATTTTGACCCTTAATAACCAACTCATTGAAATAGCCAGCCAATTTAAGACTATATGAAGTTGCCTTTGAAAATATTTCTCCCTTGGATCATCCTTTTAGTGGAGTTTATTAAAAGTCTATCAGTCCGACTCTTAGGGATTGTCTTTGTAGCTTTCAACTTCAGCGAATGGAATGGCCCATTCAGGGTGATTTCACTAGGATAGTGATTGAAGATGACTCTTTGATAGGCTCCCAATTACAGAAGTGTGTACACGTAAGAGAATCAGGAATGTGTAGTAGGGCCCAAAGTATTTTGTTAGTGAGAATGGGCTGGTGTTGGTTATAAAGCGTTCTGTCTTGTTGAGTAGGGTATCTTTTTGAATATCATATTAGTATTCTCCGTGAGAATTGGCGGAGAGGTATCCTTGTTACCTTGCTGTATGATTATAAATAAAATTGTAGGGAAAGGCCGATCACTCTGTTGCCTTGTAACTTCAGATTCTGAAATCGTATCGTTGGTCCATTATACCGAATAGAATATATCTTTTCAACTGGTGAAAAATATTCTGCTTCTCAAATTTGACATAGTGAAATTCCTGATTATAAAATTGCTGTCAACTAAGTTAACTAATAGAAGATCTGTATTAGTTAAATAAGGCATTGGCATTGACTTCTTGTTCTAGGTCTGCATGAGGATCTTCAAAAGACCATTTGTTTGGTGACGTTGAAATCACCCACCACTCCCATAACCCAAAAGCAGCAAATAGATTACGAAAGGCCTTTGATTCTTGTAAAAGTTATCTTTATCTTTACACTCGCAAGAGAGAGCGACCTCCACTTTTTTTGCTTCTTTATCTTCTGCTTATGCCATATCTCCCAACTACAGTAGTAATATTCTCCACCTGCTGAGGAAGATCCATATGCTTCTACATAGTTTGTCACAGCCATCCGTTTTTTCCTAACTGGAGGTGTGGCTAATGTCACCTTCATAACCTTCTCCATTCAGTTCAACGATCAAGGTGAAAGTTCTTCTTATGCAAAAGAAAAGGCTCCAAGGGGTAGATCAACTATCAAAATACCACCAGAACAATGCTCACATCAAGAGATGACCAGGATGGGCGGCATGAAGAAAATCTTCAAGGACCTCACTAGCTTCCTATCTACCAAAGGAGATTTGATCTTTTGATGGTGGGTAATCATATGTGAACTAACTTGGAAATTGGTGCCTACGTGGAGCCTGCATTGACTACAATCTGTTCATTCTGCCGGAAAGCTTTTATTATCCTCGATCAGCTTCCATTACCTCAAAGGCCTCTCCTTGGATCATTTTCCCCTCTTGTTTTATCTGTGGACAATACATTTATACATCTCAACCACACTGCAGTTATTTATGAAAATGCCCACTGTGCATGCTCAGCCACATAGATTTCAAGTCCTTAGTGATCTAGTTAGCACTCATCCCAACTTTTCTATAGTAAGACATCCCTTAGACGCATCCTTCTGATGAGAAGCTGCTGAATTCTTGCCAGTGCTGGAGTCCACTCCATTTGGACATTGACTACTGGTTTGAATGTTGTTATTATCCTTGTCTGTCTGTCTTATCCCCTTTCTGTTGTCATCTACAAGTTTACAGAAAACACCTGGCCAATCTCCCCTGGCAATGAGTCACTTTTTTTTCTGCCGTTCTTCACTGCCAATTAAAAGCTGGATGTTAGAATGAGCAAGAATTTATCCTGTTATTTTCCTTGAGAGCCTCCATCCTACGTTGGGATTAACACAGTGAAATGTCACTTCAACCTGATGCCAACCTCTAACTCTAAAACAAATAGGATTTTCTGTGTTTATTCCAGAAACCTTCCCATTGAATCTAGAAGCTTCCGTATTTCCCCCATCAGTTGGTAACTTTCCCACCTCAATCCATGTTCAATAAGAGAGGGCAAGGCAATGTGTTTCACTGTTTCTGTGAACAGCGAGTCAGCATCACCATTCAAATTTCAGCTGTTGGACTTGGATTGTCACCCAGTGCTTTGATGAATATAAACAAGCCTTCCCCATTGCCTTCATTACACTTCAAAAGAGCAATTGTGGCATACGAGCACTGTGGGATAGGCTTCTGTCATCAGCAGATAATCTCTTTTATCCTTCCTGGTCTTTTCTAAATTCTCGTTGCTCATAATTTTCCATGTTTGTTCATATATTACTTTTGTAAAATTGTAGCTTTTGAACCAGTTAGGATAGAAACAAGCTTTGAATCTTAACCCAGAAAGTAGCTATACTCTGAATATTAGATGACATATCTGATTTATTGGTCTATCAAAAATACTCATCAAGGTTTGGTTTGCAGGATACGTGGGAGGATGTTGACCCAGACGAACTGTCATACGAGGTGAGTTTGGCTGGCTGGAGTGCCCATGCTTTATTGTTGTTTATTCCTGAGAGGATTGTTAATATTTCAGGAGTTGCTTGCATTGGGTGAAGTGGTCGGAACTGAGAGTAGAGGGCTATCTGCTGATACAATTGCTTCCTTACCCTCCATAAACTTCAAGGCAGGGAGCGGTCAGACTGGAAGCAGTGATTCGTGAGTGATCTCAGGGAGTTTTGGTCTTTTTTGCCATTCTTAGCTTATGAGTCTCGTCTTTTCAGGTGCGTCATTTGTCGACTGGATTTTGAGGACAACGAAACCTTGACTGTTCTCTCCTGCAAACACTCCTACCATTCGGAGTGCATAAATAATTGGTTAAAAATAAACAAGGTATGCCCATTTACAAGCACCTACTAATAATCACGAAGCCGAGATGACTAAAGGGGTTGGTGTTGTGCAGGTGTGCCCTGTTTGCAGTACTGAAGTCTCCACGGCTACGGGAAGCAGTTAGTTGTGTAGCATGTGGTATTGAATTGTACTAAATCAAACATTTTACATATATATTATGTTAAATCACGAAGGATTTTAATTTGTTTGTTATGGTTTTGCAATACCCATTTCAGTTCATATATCTGTGGAAAACGTACTATTATCTCGGGTCCCTAGGATGAATCTATATTTCTTTTTCCCCTCTTTTTTGAGCTTCTCGTTTGTATCCCAAATTTGGAAAAATCTTGCAGGCTATTTCTTTTACTCTCTTGGGATGAATCCTACGTTGATACTCACTCATGTCTACGTTGATACTCACTCATTTCCTACACGGGTCGATATGCGTTTACGGCTAGGACTACTGTCTTTGACAAATACATCAAGACATAACGAAGAATAGTTAAGATCTCTTAATGATTTTGCTATTTGAATTGTCATATTTTATCTTACAAATTTGTCTGATTTGTAGTAAATTTTATTTTTCAATAAAAAATCCTATAGAATTAAAGAAGCATAATAAATTAACAAAATATTTTTATTAGATAAATATATATTTTTATTAGGAGAAAAACAAGCCGTCGCCCCATCACAAACAAATTTACTAAATAAAAATTGCTCGTTTGTTCCCCTTTTCTTTTTCTTTTTTTCTTTTATTTAATTTCCGGGGAGGGTTATATATTTCTTCATACATCGCCGCCGTGCTTTTCGACTGGGCCGCCGATGACCGCTTCGTTAGGAATGTACTTGGTCCAGAACCAGTGGGCCTTCCACACTCTGTTCATCTCTTCAATCGGCACATTCTTCGTCTCCGGCAAGAAGAAATAGATGAACACGGTCATTATCAACACAAACCCTGCGAAGAAGTAGAACAGTCCGAATTTCATGTGGCAAAGCATCGACAGGAACACCTGAGCGATGACAAAGGTGAAGAACATGTTCACTGATACGTTGATTGCTTGTCCTGCAGATCGGATTTCCAGCGGGCAGATTTCACTTGGTACCAACCAACCTAATGGTCCCCAAGACCAGGCGAATGCCGAGACGTACACGCAGATGAGGAATAGAATCATGTTTGCGTCGACTTTTGATAGGGTTCCTTCTCCGTTGAGTCCGAATTTGACGCCGATTAGCGTTCCGACTAGGATTTGGCAGACGAACATCTGTACTCCGCCTTCCAGGAACAGGATTCTTCGCCCAAATTTGTCGACTGTGAAGATTGAGACTAGGGTTGCCAGGACGTTGACGCCACCGCTGATGACGGCAGAGATTAGAGATGCGTCGTCGCCGAATCCGAGAGTCTTGAACAGAACAGGAGCGTAGAACATGATGACATTGATGCCGGTTAGTTGCTGGAAGAATGGGATTAAAACGCACATCACGAGTTGAGGTCTGTATTGTGGTTTCATTATGTTGATCCATGGATGATCTACCATCTTTGCTGATTCACTTGCATCGACTAGGTCTTGGAACTCTTCTTGGACATCGTCGGTACCACGAACTTTCTGTAGCATCTTCTTAGCCTTCTCTGCGTATCCTCTTTCGAGAATGGAGTTAGGAGTATCCGGAAGGAAGAAGGCTCCGACGGTCATCATCACGGCGGGGACTGCGGCGAGAGCCAATGAGACTCTCCATCCCCATCCGCCTACGATTTTGGCTGTACCGACATTTACAAGATTCGCCACCAAGATACCGATTGTGATGGCCATTTGGAAGCCCATGTTCAGAGCACCTCTGATTTTGGCTGGTGCCATTTCAGAAAGGTAAACTGGCACAGACTGCACACCAAAAACAAATCCATTCAATCAATCAATCAAATTGAGTACACAATTACTGCTACTTCTACAATGAATCGATTCATTTTCTTCAATATATGGTCTGTATTTCTGTAATGACAGCATACCTGATTGGCAAATCCAACACCAACACCAAGCAACAAACGGCCAATGATGAGCAGTGCAATGCTATTAGCAACACCATTGAGAATGGAACCAAATAAGAAGGAAAGACCTCCAATAAACATGGATGGCTTGCGGCCAAATTTCCGGGTAATGATGGACGCGGCGAAGGAAGCCACCAGAGCAGCAAGGTAAAGGGAAGAGGTAAACAATGTTAGTAGTTCACTGTCAAACTTACAGTACTCACTTTCATGGGTACTTTTCATCTTCTTCACAACAGATGGGAAAAAATGAGCCAAGAAACTTGGCATTGAAGTAACCCCACCTGCCAAAACATCCCAAAGCCAAAAAGTTTTAAACAAATTTCTTCCATTAGGGGGAAAAAAAAAACTTTAACTAGAGGATCGAGGATCAAAAGCTACTAAACAAACAACCAAACCTGAAATTCCAAGATCATAACCAAAGAGAAGACCTCCCATGGCAGCCACCAAACAGGTGACAAGTACAAATGTAGTGATTCCACCCTCATAGTTCCTTCCTTCCTGAACAACAAATCCTCCTCCAGCCATCTCTGCTTATTTTTTTCTTATTTTTTTCTTGTCTTAAAAAATGTTAGGGATTACGAATGTAGCTAGATATTAATCTGTGTATAAAATATGTTTTATATTAGTTCTTTCAAGAAATTTGTTGGTAATTGAAGGAGAAAAGATTTCACCAGTGGATTTTTTGGGGGTCTTTCAGAAAGGGATAAACCTATCTAGTATATGATTTATATTTATAATATATATTTATAAGAAACTGATAGACCCTTAAATCCACTGAGACAAAAGAGAAAGAACTAATACAAAAAAAAAATCCCTTATGTCATGTTCAGGAAAGAACAGGTCTTATTCAGCTTCGCCCTGGGGCTTAATTTTCCCAAGCCTCAGTTGGGTTCTTATATAGGGGTTTCAAATGCCTTCTGGCCTTCTAAATCGGACGCCATTTTTAGAACATTTCCATTCTGGAAGCTTTATTCTGTTGAACAGTGTCCAAAAATATGGGATTGCCCCATCTTTCCGAGGCTCAACTTAGAAAACTTCCTACTAGCCGCTATTTCTTTGCTCACTTGGTTTGGATTGTAAACACAAGTTTTCGCAGACTTCTATTATTGGGATAATCAGATCATTAGTAATCCTTATCTTCCAATTAAGATATCCAGGAACTGTTGAGGTTCGCCTTCTGGGTTTTGTTCTTTCTTCTTTGAAATCGAAGTACGAAAGCTCTATGGTTGTTACTTTACGACCGTAAGTAGTTTTCAGATTATGGGATTTGGTTAACCCAACCTCGTGAGTACAAATTCAATTAATTTCATTAAGGAATTAAAGTACTTTGCTTCATAATAATTCTTTATTTACAAACATACGTGACTAGAGATGCTCAGGTTGGGGACATTTGTTTAAAATAGAAATTACATTAAAAGTGAGACATTAAAAAAATTTAAGAAGTAATTAATAAATTAGGTACAAAATTGATTTAATGTTTGGTATTTTGTAGGCTAGTTTCTTTCTAATAAAAAATTGGAAAAAACATTAATAGGTAGAGTAAATGTTACCCATTTATTTGCTGGTGCTGTATTCTATGAATTAGAAAATGAATTGTCTCGAAAAAAATTGAAATCTAAAGTGGGCTTGCCTGCCAGTTTGAGTTTGGGAATCAAAGGGTCGCCGAGCCAGGCAATGCTGGCTTATAATCCAAGTGGGGGCTCGGAGATGTAGGTGGGAAGGGGGTGGGTGGAACCTGGATGTTAGGCCTTGTTTGGTGCGTCCATCTCGAGTCAATCGGACTTGCAAATGGCTGGTAATTTGATTACACGGGAAAGAAAGAGAGTAGTAACCTTTCTTTCTCGGCATATGCGCATATGCTCTGTAGATTACCAGAGCGGCGCTGCTCGCTCCCATACATTAGAACACCCACTCCTTCATCTCATCAACATTTCTTTTAGTAGGAATGAGAATTTTGGTAATTTTCTTTTTTCCCATATTAATTCCCTCATTTATTGTCTCCCAATAATACCTATGAGTTTTGTACAGGAGCTGGATCAACGTGCGAAGCAGGGGGCCGGATCCCCTGCGCAGTCATGTAATCTTTCTGGGAGTTTGGAGCCCAATCAATCGGGTCGTGTAGGTGTCTGTCAGGCTTGTTGAAAGCATCTGGCCAGGCGCATTCCGAGTTGACCAAACTGCAGATTAGCAGGTTATCCTCATCTCCAAGCTCTTCATAATACTACATACACTCCTCGTCTTAAATCAAAAATCATATCAGTGTGAAAGCAGAGTGAACAAAGGGGATTGAATAGGGGAATCTTGGGTTATCAACCAACCAGCTTCCTTCTAAACACATTCCTGTTTGTAGGGAGAATGTTTTGAGACTTGAATCTTGATGGTACAGAAATATTCCATAAGGAAGCATAGGTTGTGGAGGTGCGTTTATAACCACTCTTCACTATATATATAATTTCCTTCTTTCATATCATATCATACTGCTATAATTGCTAAAGAAACGCCTTCCCATTGGAATATTCAGGATGTTGTTTCTATCTCTTCTTCCTTAAACAAGTAGTCGGTTCCATTCAAACTCATCCAACTCATAAGAGGATGAGCGTTAAGATAGATAGATAGATAGAGGGGGAAGCTCCCTTGAGGTAGGCTGGAAAAAATGCTTTTTAAAACAATTTTCAATCCATCCGACTTATCGCTAGCAAATATTGAATACTTTTCTGTTATGAAAAATATTTGGGAGGGGGCTTAGTTTAGCTGCTAAGTTTTTAAAGGGTGAAGCGGGGATCTTGTTCTTTATTTAAAAATCATTCCAACATTTATAAATGTTTCTAAAATTGAACATTTTTAAATAATATTTTATATTAAAAAGAACTCTGGAAGATGTTAACATACATATATATATATATATATATATATATATATATATATGATCTGTCATCTTATTGTCATAAAAATCAAATTTTAAAGTTAAATTGGAATTAGACAAAGTATAGGGGGTGGAATATAAATAAATGAGATTTGATAATATAACAAAATAGAATGAGGAATGTTCCGCCAAAAGTGATTGAAGGAAAAAAGAAAAAAAAAATAGACATTAAAAAGAATAGTGGTTAATAAATAAAATTAAAAAAGAAGAAGAAGAAAATATTAAACCAAAGTAATCAATTATTAATCATAAATTAATCCAAAAAAGAGGCTAAAAACGACATTTCCCCCCTTATTAACTTATTTATTAAAAAATATTTTAAAGAGTTGAAATTATAGAGCCCGTGTTACACGGGATTTTGTTGGCTAAGTACCATTGGTTTTTGGGTAATGATGACAATATATTATTTGAAAAGTATCCATCAAACCCCTCCAAGATCTCCTTATTTTCGCTGTCTCCCCATTTTTTAGGGGTTAATATGCAAATAAAAATTATAAAGTTATGGTCGGCAGGCGTCTTAATTGGATTATAATAAAAACTCATTATAAATTTTTTGAAAGCTACTTTTACTTGTATATTATTTTATTGCTAGCTATTCTCCATTTTAATTATATCATTTCCTTATAAATATTTATTCTATATTGATGTTTATCTCTTTTATTTATTTATATTTTAGGGCTTACTCGATATAATAATTGTATAAGATGCTCGGTAAATTGATTTTTTTTATTATTATTTAATCTCTTTAACGTAAAATAAATAATAAATTTCACTCACTGAGCGCGTGCGGACAAAGCGCAGAAAAAAGAGAGTGGGGTTTTGGTTTTGCAGGAGAGAAAGTATGAGCTGTGGGGATATAGGGAGTGGACCCCACCACCCATGTGCCCTCCTTCTGTCGCCACCAGCTCGTGCCTCTCTCAATCATTAGCCCTCTTCAAGCTTCCCGAATTACCCCTTCCATTAACAAAACCCTTCTCTCTCTCTCTCTCTCTCTCTCTCTCTACCACCGGCCATGGCAGCCATTGCTACCTCCTTCTAACCCTCCTTCTGTCATTTCCTCCCCCGCTTCAATCTCAGAACAAAGCACTGAAGTCCGCATCTTCTTCTTCATGTCAAATTCCGATTCTGGCAACACCAATGGGGTCTCCAATGGCGCCGCCATTGATACCCACAAAAACCAGCCCTCTTCAAATGGAGCCCTCGTCGTCAAAAAGCCCCCCTCCAAGGACCGCCACAGCAAGGTTGATGGTCGTGGCCGCCGCATCCGTATGCCCATCATATGCGCCGCTCGAGTATTCCAGCTGACTCGAGAGCTTGGTCATAAGTCCGATGGCCAGACCATCGAGTGGCTCCTTCGCCAGGCTGAGCCCTCTATTATTGCCGCCACTGGCACCGGCACTACCCCGGCTAATTTCTCCTCCGTCTCTCTTTCCGTCAGAGGAAATGGCGGCTCCACTTCTCTCTCTTCCCCTTCTTCCACCACTTCAACTCTCTCCCTCTCTCGCCCCCAGGCTCTCTCGGGCCCCACGCCGTTTATTCTCGGCAAGCGCGTCCGGTCCGATGACGACGGCGGTAAGGACGATGGGACGGGAGTGGGTCCGACTGGGCCAGGTGGGTACTGGGCGATTCCAGCGAGACCCGATTATGGACAGGTGTGGAGTTTTGCCGCGGCGGCTCCCTCGGAAATGGTGGTTCAACCTGGGGGGATTTCTCAACAAGCGTCGTTGTTTGCTCAACAGCAGCAGCCGATTAGAGAAGCATCAGCGGCGAGAGTGGGGAATTACCTTCCCGGTCATCTGAATTTACTGGCGTCTTTGTCCGGTGGCGGTGGTTCTGGCCGGCGGGAAGATGACCCTCGCTGATGATCTTAGGAACTCTGTCATGGTGGAGGATAATTACTATTCATCGTATTTTGTACAAATATCTGTGTGTCAATTGCTTTCTTGTGTGCAGCTCAACGGTAATTCTAGTGGGAATGTAGGATTCTAGAGTTTCAGTTTGCTTGGAATTACAATTCGTAGATCCAATTTCGTTTTTCCATGGATGGATTCGTTCAAATTAGAGGTTTAGGGTTTGAAATTCCCAGATAATTTCTAGGGTTTTCTCTTTTCCGTCTTACGAGAGCAAGAAGAGGATTCAACAATTCCATCCCCTCCCGGAGCTTCAAACCGCTCTGCAAATTGGCGATTCATTTCATTACAACATTACACCCAGAAAATCCATCAAAATCTGCAGAAATGGATCTTCCGAGACGAAGAACAGAACAGAACAAGAAGAACTCGAACAACGCTGGGCTCGAAATTGCGGGCAGATTCCTTAAAACTTTGAATCGGAGCTTTATTGCAGTGGTGGCGCCATTGAAGACGTTTTCTTCAACTTCTTCATCTTCTTCCATGGCCGCCGGCGATCGAGTTTGAAAAATGGAAGCTCCAATCTCTCTCAGTAAGACCTCTGTTTTTCTTTTTCTTTTCTTCTTTTTCCCTAAAAATTTCCATTTGTATTCATAATGATTCTTAGAAATTGTTGGCGTGACAATAATGGTGTTTTTGTTCTTATGTCAGTGTATTGTTTCTGGGATTTCTCTGATGTGAATAAAAATCCCATTGTTTTCTTCAAAAACCTGCTCTTTCTCCTACCTTCTTCTGTTCATACAAAACCCATTCTACATCATTTTTCTGCACACTGTAAACAACATTGTCATATGGCTCTAATGATATCTGTTTCTTCCGTTCATCGTCGAGATCGATCAATCCGATATCCGATAAGCTAACACCAATATACTCAGTAATCAAGTGAATTGTGGTAATAAGTTGGTGGAAAAGTATATGATGATTTGAGTAGAAAGTTTGAAGGTTCTTGAGGAGAGCATGACATAACCTGTGTTGGGTGGACTAGACATGAGTTTGCCTCCTTGCTTCAAAGCAAACTGAGCTGGTGCTGTTAAATGCCAACTTTTCCTCCTTCTCTCCCTATAATGAAGAGGGAGACATGTGGTGGTTATACCATAACTACTCGAAATTGATCGGTTATTAATGGAATTTCTTGTCAGCTAGCAGTAACATACTCTTTACAGCTTCTCCTTATCAAAAAAACATAATGGAATTTCTTGTCCGCTCTCTGCATAACATACTCGTTCGTTACAGATTCTCCTTCTTGAAAACATGATTACATTTCGTTACAGATTCTCCTTCTTGAAAACATGATTACATTCAAATGTAGCAAGTAATAATCAAAATTGTAAAGTTTAGGGATTGAAAAAGGGTGCAACTTGAATGTAGCAAAAGCTTGAGTTCGAAAAGGTTAAAAATTTTCATAAAAGATATAATTTTGCCCCCATGCAGGATCGAACTACAGACCTTCAGTTTACAAGACTGACGCTCTACCACTGAGCTATAGGGGCAACTGGCAATGATTGGAATATTTTTTAATTTAAATAATAAATACTAATTTTGGAAAGACAATTCAGCTAGTTTAAAAAGAAAATCGGAAAACAATCTGAAAATATTTTTTTAATAACTAAATTTAAGATTTGATTTCATAATTATTTTTTAATATGTTTATATATATATGTATGGGTGGAAAACCCAGCTTCATTTTACTTTTGGAAGCAAAAGTGATGAACAAAAACTATGAATTTGGATCAGCCAAGTGTTCGTCTTTTCAATTGTGTCACAGTTGAGCGTTTTTTTATAGAACTCATCACTTATTTGTTGATTTGAATCAACCATCTTCAAGAACAACTCAATAGGGTTGATTATAACTTGAATTTGGCCTCAATGACATGAAAGCCTCAGCATTAGGAAGTGGCTTAGTTCTCTTAGCTAACAGAGCCCTTAACATCCATCCATTGTTTCAACGCTTCTCATCTTTTTCTTATAATTTCCCAGTTAGTAGAAACAACCCTCAAAACATTGCCGCTGCTCTTTCTCTATCTGAAAATGTAAAATCATTCATTTTTGGTGCTCAAATACATGGTCATATCTGTAAGTTGGGGTTCACTTATGATACTTTTTCCATGAATAATCTGGTTAAGATGTACTGCAAATGCGGGTTTATGTGTGAAGGACTCAAGGTGTTTGAAGAAATGCCACAGAGAAATGTAGTATCTTGGAGTTTGATCATTTCGGGTGCGGCTGAGAATGGAGAGTTTGAAGTTTGCTTGGAGACTTTTTTGGACATGATGAGGGATGGGTTGGTGCCTAATGAGTTCACTCTTGGTAGTGTGATGAAGGCGTGTGCGGATGTCGGAGCCTGTCGATTTGGTTCGAGTGTTCATTGTCTTTCTTGGAAACTTGGGATAGAGCAGAATGTCTTTGTTGGTGGTTCAACTTTGAGCATGTATGCAAGGCTTGGGGACATTACTTCAGCTAAGTTGGTTTTTGAATGGATGGATAAAGTAGATGTTGGTTGCTGGAATGCCATGATTGGAGGCTATACTAACTGTGGCCATGGCTTGGAAGCTCTGAGTGCTGTATCTTTGTTGGTTAGCAAGGGTATAAAGATGGACAAGTTCACCATTGTTAGTGCTATCAAAGCATGCTCAATAATTCAGGATTTGGATTCTGGAAAAGAACTTCATGGATTCATTCTTCGACATCGATTAACATCCACCGAGGCAATGAA